GAGCTGGAGGACAGATTAATGCATCTAAGGAGGGAGAAAGACTGAAAAATTCATTACTAAGGTGCTCAGGTCCAAAAACTAAAACCTCAGTCTTGTCTGTTCAACAGGAGAAAATTAAGGGTCATCCAGGTTTTTATGTCTTTAAGAAATGCTTGTAGTCTAAGTAACTGATTGGATTCATTGGGTTTAACGGACAAATATATCTGTGCATCATCAGCATAACAATGAAAATTCATCCCATGATGTTTAATAAAATTACCTCATGGAAGCATATATAAAATAAAGAGTATTGTTCCAAGCACTGAGCCCTGAGGAACTCCATGACTAAATTTGGTGTATGAAGAAGATTCACTATTTACATTTACAAACTGGAATCTATCAGATAGATATGATTTAAACCATTTTAGAGCCGTTTCTGTAATTCCAATATCATCACAGACTCTCTCACTGGTACATCTTCATCTTTAAATCACTTCCTGGTCTGCTGCCTTCATACATCTCCTCCTACATGTCTCTGTGTGAGTGCAGCTACAGCGTGCGCTCTTAGGACATTATTACCTGCAGTGTTCCCTCAGTGAGAACTGAACTAGACAAAAGGACCTTCTTTTACTCCGCTACTGTTTCCTGGAATATCTTGTAAAAAGATCTGAAGCTCTCGACCTTGACCTCTCTAAGTGGCTTTAAAAATCTGATAAGTTCCTGCAAGAACCAACGCAGACATGTTCCTGTTTTTAGTTTTCTACATTCACATTATAATCGATCTGTTTTTTTCTACTTTTTTGCCATCTTACTTTAATTTGTACGAAAAATAAGTCTGTATGCCTCTTTTATAATTGTCTATTGTTGTCAACACTCTTTGTTGAATTCAGGTCTCTCTTGTAAATTAGTCCTCGAGGCTCAATGGGATTAACCTGTCTAAATAAAGGTTGAATGAATTTTCAAGTCTCTGTAGTAAAATATTGTGATCAACTGTATCAAATGCAGCACTGAGGTCTAACAGGACCAGTATAGACACAAGTCCATTGTCTGAGGCCATGAGAATATCATTAGT